ATATATATATATATATATATATATATATATATATATATATATATATTTATATATATATATATATATATATAGTATCCGTCGTAATGCATATGTCCAGGCGTAACGCGTATGATATACTTCAAACACACCTAATGCTTTTTTTGTGACATCGGGCGTATATGGATATAAGTGTAACTTACAAGTGGTCAACAATAAGAAGCACAGTTTAACAAATAACTTCCTTCTATATCTTGCCATGAAAACTTACTCTACGACAAACGCTGCCCAGCGACCTATCAGCGAATGAAGTTCTTCTTTAGTCTGTAAGCAAAAGCATAATTAATATATTTGTTTTGGTTAGATTCCAAAAAGTGCTACATGAAGTTTTGCTGAGTTATCACGAAGAAAAGAATATGTACAGGTTCTACTAAATAAACCTCGAATAGAGACTATTTATTTACATACCTCGACAACTTTCTTCGTCGCAATTGAAAGTATATTTGCATAGAACGTGCGTTTTTTTAATCGATATAAAATTAATGCGCAAACAAAAATGATACCAAAATATAATAATTTTAAGTATGGTATGATTGTGATTACCTTTAAGCAAAATAGGTGGTAGAAAACAATATAATCTTGTTTTAAGAAATTATCCTAAACCATCTTCCTTCGTAAGTAGTTCGCTGTGCAATCCGATGGAAATACATTTTGGTATTGACTATGGATGACTCCTAATAAGCTGGGGCTTGGAAGTCACCCATACCCCGTTGCTGCTGTTGGCCAAATGGCGGTTCCTGGTAAGCAGTATCAGTAGCATCAGGGTAACTTGTATATCCTGCACCACCAACAGGATCCGCTTCGTAACTCGGAGCGAATGCTGCGTCAGTTCCTTGTTTAAATCTTTGAAATGCAAACCAAGCACAAGCAGCCTGTTAACATACATATTAATAGTATTAAAAATATAATCTTCAGGCATACTTTTGCAGCAAAATCTAATTAAAGTACATGTGGCGATTCTGGATGTAGCTGTTAATAATTAAGCGAGCAATTTTATATTGACAGAATAAGCGATCAGACATACCCAAGTGAAGATGGAGAAAAACGAGAACGCAATAGCCGCTTGCAGATTATTTACGCCATATCCGTCCTTTGGTCTTGGAGAATTATTCCATGCATTCGTCAAGTAACAGAATCCCACGAAATACAAGAAAGACCAGAAGCCCGAAAAGCTGTATATATATATACATATATAACTCAAATGTTAGTGCAGAGAATATTATAGTATGATAAAACAAATTACGTTAACCTAAATATTCTGGAAGCAATATCACTTATAACATGATATACAACATAAATATGTGTATGACTTACCCCAAATCCACAAGGACGAAATGTTTTCTAGTCTTGACAGACGACATCTGTTCAAACAAGTATTCACCAACGAGAAAGCCGATACTAGCCAAAAATGCCAATACCCCAATACCGATCCCATAATTGCAAGCATTATTGTCATCATTGTAAAGACAGACTTCCTTCCCATCTTCTTTCGGAAGGTAGCCCTTGCTGCTTATACAACCGAATACAATTATTGCAAAGAGCTGAAAGCATGATAAAGATTTTTCTAAAGAACAATTCAATTATGAAAACTTGCAAACAAGTGGAGATACATTGTATCAGTAAAATGTATTATATATTTATACATATTATATACATATATAATTATATGTATATATTATACATTTACATTATATGTAGATATTATTTTAACAAAAATATGAATAATAAAAAAACATATGTCAGATATAAAGTATAAAAAAATTTTAAAAAGAGTCTTGACTATATACAACAAATCTTAAATCTATATAAGGCATGTATTTAAAGTATCAAAATTAACACTCTTTTAGTGGCTTATGTGAAAAACGGCATCAAATATGGGTCTTTCAATTCTGGTTCTTTTATCATATCTTTAAAGTGGTTCAAAAAATCTGTAAAAATTCATGGATATAGTTTCAAATTTCTAGAATAAATACCTGTACTTCATTGTGCAAAAAACTAAAATATAGTATATCTGGGACTTTTCAATATGCTGAGAAATTTCTATGAATAGAAACCCACTGTGCAAATAGTAAACGTTACATATTAGATACGTAACATATATGTTTAATGTCCTACTCAGAAACATTTATTCTACATAATAGCTCGGAAATGTAGCAGAAATATTTTAGAAAATGAGAAGAAAGACAGAAATATTTCTGCTATGTTTTTGAACTATTATATACAAGAAATATTATATAAAAAAAATGTTTCTGAATAGGACATTAACATATATATTAACATTACATATCTAATATGTAATGTCTACTATTTGTACAATGGGAACCATCTGGACTCGAAATATGCATGTAGAGCCACTAAGGGTTAAATTTGAAATAAGTAAATAATATATATGTACATATTTATCATATATATGTCTCTATAATTGTCAGAATCTTAGAGTATTCTTGATTCCCATTATTTTATTTTCATTTTGTGTACATATGTATGTTTAGCATCGAAATTCAAACAATATCTATAAATTTATCTACAAATTGTCCAACTTTAATTCAACATGTTCTCTTTCTGCACAAAGATCTATTTAAAAGTGTAAAATCGGTGAAACCATAAGATTTAAAAATATTAAGATCAATATAAGTATAGTTGTTTCCAAGATAAAAATAGGTCAAGCAAAATAGCAAGGTTAAACATAAATTCGTTCTTAAAATATCTCAGATTATTAATATCATGATAATATGCCTTAGACTTGCATTTCATGACTCTAGAAATGTCTTATATACTCAAGCACAGTTTATATATATCCAAATATATATCATTAATAAAAATATAAGTATCTCTATTGTAAATTAACAATAAAATATTTGGGAAGAGAATTAACAACACTGTCGACAGTACTGAGAAAAGAATGAAAAAAGGACTAAATGCAGGGAGCGTCCTGCACCGATTTGCGCTACATCTCATCACATATATGCGCCAGTAGGGCACAGTAAGTGCGGAAAATCATGAATAGCCTAGTAAAGAAGTTTCATTTTGGATAACGAATGCCATGGAGCCCCATAACATGGGGCGTACCGCTGGAATTCGCGAAAAATCAATAGAACCCTATCGCGGCGCAAGGGCGGGGAAAGGGGAGGAGAACCGTGGCTCTTTTAAAATCAATGTCCATCCGCTCGAGTCGTGGAAACGCTCTATTCCTCTGTCTACTTCTATCGCTTTGAATCTCTAGACACCAGGTCATCCCAATCACACAAATCGTCGGCAGTCGTTGACGGAGTTGCGACGACTTACCAGACATACCGCTCTTAGAACAACCTGCGGCCGTTGGACGAACGCGATCGGATCGAAAGGTGCCCCGGCCTTTCCGCCACCGTACGCTCCACCGTCCATCTTAGTGCGACTGAAGCGGAGATTTCAAAGCTCTCGTACCGACCAAGCGCGCATGCGTCTCAGTCTCGTGGATGGGGGTGTGATGTGCGCGCGCGTTGGGATTAGGCGCAGGATATCGTCCTCGCGGCTATCCGCCCTCGCGAACAAGCTTCCGCGATCATCACCATTCTATACTATTCCTTTCGATTCCCCACGGTTTCACGAGTCATTCTATATACACTTCTTTCGATCTTACTTGTCCTCGTCCTGATTCTCCTCATATACGCCTCTTTTAATCTTTTCCGGGGTTATCGATGTCACAATTTACTTTACGCGTTTTCTATTAGATTCATTTTATAGTCAGATCTTAGGTCTATAAACGTTAATTGACAATTACATACAATTGTTTTTTTCTTTGTATATTTATTTTAAGGAAAAGACAATATTAGATTTAACCATCTTCATTAATTTTAAGAAAAATTTTTGACACCATCTTTTATAGTAACAGCAAGCTTTCAAGGGAATAATTTGTATGTTATTAAATAGGAATAATTAAGTGGAATTTTTTTTCGAAACTTTTATCAAAAATATTTATGATACATTGTGTTTAAACATATAAAATATTTTTTTCACAAAAACTAATGATATATATATATATATATATATATATATATATATATATATATATATATATATATATATATATATATATATATAT